AGCAGAGCCGCGAGAGGGGGGGGGGGGGAGTAGGTAGTGCTGGGCTTAATGCATATCATTTTTTAAATAACTTGTTGCATGATTTGGCAGTAATTCTGTCTGGGACAAAACATTAGTATTAAGAAGGTGAGAAGCTCCTCTTTATACAAGTAAATGGTCTCTATAGGCTGCATCTACTCTTCTTACAGGTCACTGCTACCTATTAAAAAATGTTTATTTCACAAGTATTTTGGTCACTTCTCTGATCATCCAGCAGGTGGATGAGGTTCTGCTGAACCAGTGTGAACACCACAACCTTGTCCTTTTTAATATAGTGTGTTCAATTCTCTCTGCCTTGTGGGTGTTGGAAGGGTCTCCATTATCCCAAGTACCAACTCTGTTGAGGCTATAAAACAACCCAATATAGTGTATAGCTATCTGGAGACACCTGGGCAGACTTTAGCAAGGCGTGGCCCCCTGGTGAGAATTTCATGACACATACCTGAGCATTGGTCTGGGAGGAGGAGGAAGTTCATCTGGATCCTGACAGCGCTTGGCTTTCTTAGTAACCTGCTTATAAATGTTCCGAGCTGTGACTCCTACCCAGAGTACTGTGGCCAGTGTGGAGTAATGGAGGAGAATACCCATCTACAAAACAAAGGAAGCAATTAACTCTTGTGTGACCTAAAACTCAATGACCTTTCTTTAAAGCAAAACTGATTTCAGGCTAGTTTGAAAATGCAAAGCTGATACAATTTACAGACAGCTGTAGAACTAGACAGAGATGGATGTGCCGTACTCGGTACATGTACAGATACTTTTCCTGCTCCAAGACTAGACTAGAGAAAATTAAAAAAGTTAGGAGGCAGCTGCCGTTTGTAAGGAGCCCGTCACCCAAAGCTCAGTATACCGCGAGCTACAGCTTGCGGTATACCGAGACGCCGGGACGGATCCCGACATTACTATATGGGTACACCCAGCTGCGCGACAGCTGGCTCTGCCCCCTCCACCGTCCGTTCCGCCAGTCAGCGCTGGAGGATCGGACAGGGGAAGGGGGGAATCCCTGCAGGGAGCCGTGAGTGACCGTCACGGCTCTCTGCATGGACAGGATCGAGAAGTGAGCGAGCGACGGTATGTGTTCGCTCACTCCCCGATCTATTGAGACGCCCTGTGACAGTAATTTACATTTAGCCTTGTTCCTGCTGCTGCTTGGAAGCTCTACCCCTTATTGGTTTTTACAATACGGTGGTAGGGAAGGGGTTAAATAAGCTGCTATATGCAGACAACATGATAGCGAGCAATATACAGTATTTCCCCATAAAAATGGAAGGAGCAAATATTATCTACTGGTGCTGTTGAATCCGTCATACTTACTGCCTGACAGACGCTGGAGTTTTTGGTCTGAGTGATACCACTAACATACACTGCACAGGTCAGGAAGATGTGAAGACCCAGGTTTACCAACATGTGCCAGCTCTTTAGACTGATTCGTATTATGCTGGAAAAAAAAAAGAAAGGAAAATAGGTGAAACACCATACTTGAACCTGGAACAAGTTTCTCCTTTTCATTCATGCTTTCCCTAAATTTACACTCTGTTAGGATCACAGCATTTTAATGGACACATCCTTAACCCTTTCGCTGCCAAGGCCTTTTTTTTTCTTTTCGTTTTAATCCACATTTTAGGCCTGGAATTTACTTCAAACCTGAAATATTTTCTGAAAGCCAAGACCTTGTAGAATAAAATAGTGGCAGTTGCAAATATTGCGATATTAGTGAAACTCTTTATCAAACCCCAACATTTTGTGAAAAATGCAGTTAAGTTATATATAGTGCCCCAAAAAACTAAATAAAACCCATTAAAAAAAAAACATATTATAGATGAGGTTACAACGAGTAAATAGATGGCCAACATGCGCAGGTTAAAAATTGTGTGCGTCCGTGAACCCGAGACAAAATTCAGTACCCCAAAAAATCCACAGACGACGCTTTAAAAGCCCCTACAGGTCATCAGTTTAGAGATAGGCGTAAATATTGGCCCTAGAATTATTGCTCTTACTCAACATGTGTAATAGTTGTTTTCGTATGTAGGTGCACCTGACGCATGTTAACGTGATTACACGCATGCTTGCGAGGGACTTTAAAAAAAAGTTAACATTATTTTTACATTTCATTTTTTACTGTTATTGTGATCACATAGGGGGCCTTACAAACCCCTTATGTGATAGCATATTGGTGGTGACAGGTCCTCTTAAAGGTGATCCTAGTGTCATCTTCCCACTTGAAATAAGCTATTGACGTTTTGAACTCCTTTTGAAAAAGTTAAATCAACGAAACGCGTCAAGGAATATCTGTCTTCGCCGCTTACAGCTGACATCCTTTTAAACGATTTTAAGCTTGATTATATCATTTATCTTGTAAGTGCAATCTACTTATTTTTCAAGAAAAGAAATAAACCTTTTTAGATCACTACACTTAGAAGGTCCCGCCTTCTTTTTTTTTTCATCTTCCCCTGGGAGCTCTTTTCTACAGGTCTTTGCCACCAGTCGGGCGGTGAGTCTTTAGGAAACCCGCCATAAGAGAAAAACAAACCGGAGTGCTAGATCTGGAGAGAAAAGATTGTGCCGGATCATTATAACCACAGTCTTGTTCGGGAATCTCTGGACCATTGGGTGGTCGAATACGGACTCCTGTGGACATCCCTGAGGAACCCTCTATTGAACGAATAAACTTTCCACTCAGACATTACGGAAATAAGGAAAGCAATTACTATTTTTTGCAAACCGCAAATGCTCTTTTCCCCCCAAACTCATATTTCATGCTTACAGCTGATCTCCAACAAATGTAACCCAAATATGTGTTGACTGATCATTCAGTACATTTTTATAATAAAACAAGCTTCTTTGAATACCCCTTTAAACAGACCCTTACCTGTGATAGTACAAATAGGTGACAATAAGCATCAGTAAGCAGAGCAGCAGCACTACAGCAGATGCATAAACAACGGGATGCAGGAGAGTCATGGGATGGGCATAGAATTCAGTCCCTGTTAGATCCTAGAAAAGAAATGTCATCTTAGGACATGTGCACAATGGAAGCCACTAACTGCAAACAATGACCAACCTACAGAACAATCACTTCCTCTGACACTATATGTGTGCATTACATTCCTATATATACTGTATGAAAGAAGTCAAATAATATGGAGTAGATTAAACATTAAAGGCAATGTATGGTATATTTTCAGTGAGCATATATTCTTTATTATTACTGAAATGTTAACCTTAAAGTAATGTATTTATATGACTTTCACAGTTTTACAATCCTGCACTTCTATATTTTTGCTACTGCAAATATATGTATATTAGCCAGTAAAGGGAACCCTTGGGGGCAATGAGCAATTATGTCTCTCTTAGGGCCACTGTCATAAAATATATTGTGATCACATTTAATCATCGTAATCAGTATATGCATTATTTTTCTTGCATGTCCTTTTATATTTTTCTCTACACTTACATGCAGACCAAGCTGCAAAGCAAAAATAACAGTGTCGGGACAAACTAATGGCTAGAAGTGCTAGCAGGAATTCATATACGTGATACTATTACTGTATGTATTTACACACGGATGTCCGAATGCAACTGTTTCTGCAAAAGTGATCCTTTTATTGGGAAAAAAAATGAGCTACATATGCATTACACAGTTTTTCATAAGACAACCAATTTCCTTTCGTGATATTGTCAGACACTGAGGGCGGAATTAATGAACCTGTTTGTGACAACATTTTTTAGGTGCAAAGACCAAAATGTCATGCGGCAGAGTTTGATTTCTGTTCTGCATCTTTTTGAAGTGTTCTTGCGATATATTTATATTTGCAGTAATCACAGGGATTCACGGACACACAAAGGGATCAAATATTAATATATTTATTTGTGAAACGTCACATAATGTCATCAAAGGCTAACGTTTCAGGACCTCACAGCGACCCTTCATCAGAGCAACACTCTTGTCGCTCTGAGGAAAGCTCCCGAAACGTCAGCCTTTGATGACATGATGATATATTTATTTGTGAAATGTCACAACTAAATATTGATATTTGATCCCTTTGTGTGTGCCGGTGAATCACCGTGATTACTTCTAGTGTTTGCACTGCGCCTTTCGGTGCGATCACCTCGAGCACCACCGATACTTTTTATGTTGTAAGACCGTATGTAGTGCAAGTGCCATTTGGAAAAACAATATTCACGTTTGCGACTCACTGCACATGTTTACTGACATTTCGCATAATATTTAAACTGCGTGGTATTTGCGTCAAGCATTTGCGACAATAAAAGACCTCCAAACTATCGCACATCCTAGAAGAGCTCCTGAGCACTTCTTAAAGTGTCGCAAAGATTGCACATTAATATTGCAAATTATTGTACTCCTAAAATCATTTCCCTAAAGAGTTCATTGGAGGAAAACAGGGGACCTCTGGAGTAGAAGCCCTGCTCCTAGGAGGATAGACACTAGGAAAAACCAGAAGAGCATGCTTTGTGGGAAATACCCTTCTGTGCAGGAAGCGAGAGCTCAGGAGTAGCCAGCAGTACTAAGAGAAGTAGAAGTAACCAAAACTCCAGACAATGGTGGTAAAAGCCACCAAACCAGAGCAGAATATCAGGATGTGTGCCCCCCAAAGAACTCTTCAAGTATGGGCTTTTATGGGGAACATGGTGAGGGGAATATAACAGACCTCTTAAATGTTACCATGAAAAATGCTGACAAGATTTTACAATCCTCACCACAGAAAATTATACATAAAGATGCAACTGGGCTTTAATTTTGTTCTATTCGGGAGTTCAAACAGACATATTTTATACACATTATATATATCTATAGCTATATATATCTATATCTATATATCTTATCGTGATTACTTCTAGTGTTTGCACTGCGCCTTTCGGTGCGATCACCTCGAGCACCACCGATACTTTTTATGTTGTAAGACCGTATGTAGTGCAAGTGCCATTTGGAAAAACAATATTCACGTTTGCGACTCACTGCACATGTTTACTGACATTTCGCATAATATTTAAACTGCGTGGTATTTGCGTCAAGCATTTGCGACAATAAAAGACCTCCAAACTATCGCACATCCTAGAAGAGCTCCTGAGCACTTCTTAAAGTGTCGCAAAGATAATTCAACTTCACCTCCTCAAGTCAGGTGAGTGCCCCAGGGCTTTTCAGCTATCATCCGGGGGGTTCCCAGCAAGCTTGCGACAGTTTAGAGATCGTTCAGAGATCAGGACAATTTAGAGACAATTCTCCTCATAAAGGCATGCAAGAATGAAGCATAAACTAGGATAATACATTTGTCGCTATATTCACTATTATATATATCTATAGCTATATATATCTATATCTATATATCTTATACACACACACACACATATATATATATAAATATATATATATATATACACATATATACATACATACATATACACTATACTGTAATATTTAGTATTTAGTACCAGTCTGTACAGATGTGCATGGTGTGCAGCGGCTCTATGATGCCATGAATCTTACCATTAACACTGCATAGTTGCTGAGCGTGTCGCACTGTATAGTGGTTACATTCTCATCTGACGCAGTTATCTGGCAGCCTTCTGATTTCCATCCGCCTTGCCCATTAAGTAGATCAAAATCCCACTGTGCCGCTACAGGGTCCTTTCCATGCGCAATGCGACGTAGTGTGATGTTAACAGGGACAGTTGGAAGGTTTCGGTTTGGACCATCTGCAGAAAACATTAACAATGGAAGTATTTGAAACTATAAGGGGCGCACCTTCCGGTTTCCATGCGTCATAGTTGGGGGTCCTTATATCATTGCATAGGACATTGATTTTTTTGGGCTTACACATCTTGCTGAGGCTACAAGTCACAACTGGGAGCCACAGGTATGAAACATGGGCCACATATATAATTTGTGTTCTTACATTCCGTCAGTAGGAATGCCAGGTCCTAATCCTTTCTTATGCATGTTGTTCACTAGACATGTGCACTGCCCAAAAATTAGTTTAGTTTCGTTTTAAATTCAGATTTGTGTTATTTCGTTTTTCGGGATTCGGGTGTGAAAGTCAATTCGGATTCGGACGAAATTCGTTAGCGGTAGTTCGTTCGAACGTTCGTTTTCGTTTCTTATTCATTTCGTTCATTCGTTTGCAGCAAAGTGACATTTGAGGGGGAAAATGTTTTTCTTCAACGGACGAAACGAATAAGAAACGAAAACGAAGCGAACGTTCGAAGGAACTACCGCTACCGAATTTCGGAAACGGAAATTCGGATTCGTTTACATTCGTTATATCTGTAATTCGGATACATCCGAATGTCCGAAAATTTGTCCGAATTTCGATTCGGAACGAAACGAATCGCACATGTCTACTGTTCACTATCAAATGTCCACTATGCTGAACAATGTAGCTACATGATTATCTCCGCAAAACCATTCGATGGAGGGATAACACATAAGGTGCAAGCTCTACATCTCAAATGTTTGGGTATTATACATTTCATTGTATGAAAAGTTACAGTGATGGTATTATCAGTGACATCACTATGTCGTGCAGCGGCTCTATGATGCCATGAATCTTACCATTAACACTGCATAGTTGCTGAGCGTGTCGCACTGTATAGTGGTTACATTCTCATCTGACGCAGTTATCTGGCAGCCTTCTGATTTCCATCCGCCTTGCCCATTAAGTAGATCAAAATCCCACTGTGCCGCTACAGGGTCCTTTCCATGCGCAATGCGACGTAGTGTGATGTTAACAGGGACAGTTGGAAGGTTTCGGTTTGGACCATCTGCAGAAAACATTAACAATGGAAGTATTTGAAACTATAAGGGGCGCACCTTCCGGTTTCCATGCGTCATAGTTGGGGGTCCTTATATCATTGCATAGGACATTGATTTTTTTGGGCTTACACATCTTGCTGAGGCTACAAGTCACAACTGGGAGCCACAGGTATGAAACATGGGCCACATATATAATTTGTGTTCTTACATTCCGTCAGTAGGAATGCCAGGTCCTAATCCTTTCTTATGCATGTTGTTCACTAGACATGTGCACTGCCCAAAAATTAGTTTAGTTTCGTTTTAAATTCAGATTTGTGTTATTTCGTTTTTCGGGATTCGGGTGTGAAAGTCAATTCGGATTCGGACGAAATTCGTTAGCGGTAGTTCGTTCGAACGTTCGTTTTCGTTTCTTATTCATTTCGTTCATTCGTTTGCAGCAAAGTGACATTTGAGGGGGAAAATGTTTTTCTTCAACGGACGAAACGAATAAGAAACGAAAACGAAGCGAACGTTCGAAGGAACTACCGCTACCGAATTTCGGAAACGGAAATTCGGATTCGTTTACATTCGTTATATCTGTAATTCGGATACATCCGAATGTCCGAAAATTTGTCCGAATTTCGATTCGGAACGAAACGAATCGCACATGTCTACTGTTCACTATCAAATGTCCACTATGCTGAACAATGTAGCTACATGATTATCTCCGCAAAACCATTCGATGGAGGGATAACACATAAGGTGCAAGCTCTACATCTCAAATGTTTGGGTATTATACATTTCATTGTATGAAAAGTTACAGTGATGGTATTATCAGTGACATCACTATGTCGCCCTGAAGAAGGGACCCTGTGGGACCCCGAAACGTTGGCTTCTCATGACGAAAATAACAGTAATAAACTGGACTACAAATTCATGATTCTATTTTGTGTGTGCTTGTGACTTTTTGTTCAACATGTTGAAGTTCCACACTGGACCATCCTTGTCATCACTACAAGCACTGCTACAATCTTGAAGGACCCAACACTGTATGGAGTGCAGGTGATTCATGACACTATACCCCGGATTAAAAGGTTAACTTGAGTTTTGGGGGGGTTAGGTTGCTTAGTTTTACATTTTCGAGTGTGACAAGTTCACATGCACTCAAAGTACCATGTGACTAAAATTATAACACTGAAGTGTCCACAGGTGCTCAGAAATACATGAAGTGAATAACATTTTACACAAGTCTGCAGTATCAGAGCTGGTATTAATAGTCCAGTTGGCAAGAGCCTAATCATTTCTAGATTACATTGATATATGTTTGAGGTGCTAGTCCAGCACAAGTTAATAAACTGCCCTAATACACAAAGCAATAAAACATACACAAAACGGGGCTACAGGAAGGCTAATACAAAGAGACTACAGGATAGCCTGCCACCTTCTAATTCCAGAAATGACCTATGTGGCTATAGTTACATATCTGAAGGAAAGACAAGTGGTTAGCTTGCAACCAGTGGTGTTCCAGCTGTCACCTTACCATTATAGAACAAAAGGACAGATTGGCTGCTATGGGAAACAGGTTTCCTCAAATTCATTGGTGTAAGCCAACCAAACTCTACCGTGTCCATTCATAATTCATAGAACAAAGCCTTTTTATTAACTAAGACCAAAGAGAACTGGTCACTGGTATACAGATGTAGGATCTACTTCAAGTGGGACAAACCTAATTTGGCAAGTATGACTGGAGTGACCACTGAGCGCCTCTTGCTATCATCTGCAAGCTGTGTGGAGTTCCCAGTGGCTGGGAAAAGCTTTCCATTCCGAAATGCAATCAGCTGCAGCTTGTACACCGATTCATCCACTGCTCTCCTCTCCCTTTTTTCTCTGGACCCAAACAGGGCAGCCGGCAGCTGAATAGAAGCTTCCACAACTGTGTTCTGTAAGGACACAAGAAATTGTACAGATTTACAGAACAGATATAAACAGTCAATTTCCATGGACTGGCCAATGGAGCACTCACAATTACAATAACAGGGGGGTTGCCATAGTGTTGGTCATCAATCAGCTCCATAGAATTACATGTTTAACAGGATTCGCCTGCAATTTAATCCTGGGAAACCGGCTGTCTTAGCAGTAGATCAATGGGTGAAGTGTACTTTGGAATGCAAGTCAAAGAAGACCTAGCATCAGGTGTATTTTTCATGTAATGTGCATTTACACTGCGCAGTGTGCTTACACTGAGTTTAATGCTTACAACACTTTACTACCACTCAATGAGATCAAAATAATATCTCAAATCTCAATAATGCATGCATCTTTTTTTCCTCCTAAGATGAGTGGTGTAATGTTTTTTTAAGTCGTCATTTGCACACTGTGCAGTGTAAATGCACATAACATGAAAAATACACCTGTTGCTAGGTCCTCTTTGACTTGCACTCTAAAGTCTACTTTACTCACTGATCTACTACCAAGACAGTCTGTTTTTCATGATTACATCTACTTCCTTCACCAAGATGCATAACCAGGGACATTATATACATCATTTTTTGTTTTTGGCTGTTTCTACTTTACTCACCCACCTCTAGTGTCAGAAACTCATTAGGGGTGTGAGAATACGCACACACACAACCTTTTCTACATGGCACTGAGATGTAACCAATCCTCAGTGGAATTGGAGATCAAGGTCCAAGTGGCACACAATTTTAATCAGGACTGAAAAATGAATTGAACAAGGGTGGTGCTATGAGGTCACTGCCTCTTGTCCAATCAGAGAATGCCTAGTTTTCATTACAAGGCATCCTCTGAATGGCGGCTACACTCAGTGAGTGACTCGCTGTGTGTTAATAGCACAGGGAAGTTGCTCAGCACATCGGCTGTAGCAGGGACCTGGAAGACGCTGCAGTTACTAGTGTATTACAGGATCCCCATGACCCTGCCAGAGAGATTATATATATATA